CGAAATTCGCTGGAGCCGAGGCGGCTGGGGTGAAGGGGGCGTGCCTTCCACCGCCGCCGCCGCTAGCCCAACTTTCCCCCTTCTTACCGCGTAGGGAAGACCCGGAACAGTGGAGGAGCCTGGGGCTCCTTTTGCTGCCGAGAGCTGGGCGAATTTTCTTTTTTACGTTTCAGAGGAGTTGTTGCAGGATTTTGATGATAAAAAGGAAGATGCGGGAATCTTTTTCTTTCCAGTAAGGGTGCTTTCCAAACTCTTTCGCGTTTTCTTCCCAAATAGGAACATCAGCACCGTTGTGTGTATGCCGAGTATGAGACGTTTTGATCGCTCTTAAGTACTCCCCAGGGAACTGAAAAGTCTAATCTGTGTGGCCGCACTTAATCATCCCGTGCAGACAGTTGAATGTGCGATTGTATTTGCCCTATATTATTTCCTGGTTTGAAAATGGGCAGTCTGAAAGCGCTCACCTCATCAGAATCAAATGATATATCCCGGGGTTACTCAGGATCACTTAACGAGTTCTAATATAAACATACGCTCTTCCTGTTAATAGACAGCGAAATCTCTCCCCAGATGAATACCTAATTGTGTTTTGTTGTTAAGGGTCTTTGACACCTCCCCCTGCACACACAAACAAAATAATCTCAACTCTAAAAGCATTGCTTTATTTGTCTGCGTTAGTTTTGACATATGTAAGTATGTAATTACCGACTTTAACATGCTTGAGCTTTATAGCAAGCACTGTTAAATAGTGGTTCATGCAGTCAATATACAACCCAAACAAAATTAGAACGACATTGAAGCTTTAATAGGAACAGAAAGGATAGGTTATTAAATATATATTTGCTCAGGGAGATTACTCCCGATTTTTGAGAAATACAAGTTAGAAAAGTGTGACCAGAAGTATAAGCTTGAATGATTTTTATTGACTTTTTCGTTAATCAGGGTAGGATATCTGACATTTATTGTTGTTTTCAGTGTGAAAATTGCCTTTGTTTATCATAAGGTTGAAATTGGACCAGAAGAGAATGAAAGCAGGTTTTTAGCACTTTTCAAACAAGCGATAAAATTGTTTTTAAGAATTGTGATTGGCTCATTGTTGGGTTTGAGGAACTTTAATATATTCCCAGTGTTTTCTGGTATAGAATTATGTAGTTAAAACAGATAAAATTAATGTACTTTCAAAACATTAATATTTATATTTCTGAACTGTATACAATGTCTACTATGTTAAACCTTCTAAGTTTTATAATTTTAATTACTGATGATAAGAGGCTACTGTGTACTCAAAACTTTTTCCTTTGTATTGTATTTTGGTTTTTTTTTCCTATTCAAGTAGCATTAAAAAGTATTAATACGTAAGGATAAAAAATAGGTTTACTTTTCTTTATCTTTTTCCACAGCAAGTGAAGATGTTAAAGATATCTTTGCCAGAGCAAGAAATGGAAAATACAGAGTTCTGAAAATATCTATTGAAAATGGTTAGTTAAATATTTTAAATTTTGTTTGTTCTTGGATTATTGGGTGTTACATTTTTAAATTTCTAAGTCATTGTGATTTGGACTATTAATAAATGTGAAGCAAGTTCAAAGCTTGTCTTTAGTTAACTTGGATCCTGTACATTTTGAGAATGTCCCACAGGCCCCTACTTGACTTCTGAATTCTGTAGTTGACTGTCAAGGAAACAAAAAGATGTTTTTTGGTGTGACATCTTCCTTTTTGACTTTTTGTGCTCAGTTTCTGTACCACAGTCTCTATCTAATGTCAGCGCTTGCATCTCTGGAATGGAAATCAGTAACAGGTGATTATCCAAAAAAATAATTACTTGTGAACTGTTAATTCAGTAAAGTTAGTTTTGAAATAGAAAGAAAGAATTTCAGACTCTCCCATTTTCTCGACTTGACTGTAATGTATGCTGCAGAAATGACTCTCCTTTTTCGTTTGAGGGAAAAGTTCTGAGGTTGTAACAAACTATATACCTTGATCCTTTCACAATAAAGCTGTAAGCATGAAAATTTGTTGTCTGGAAGAATAGATTTGAGTGTGAACAATAAATATTATAACTGCTTAATCACAAATGAGTATGTTAAAATTTTCCATTGGCCTAATTTCTTAAGTACCTTGAAATATTTTGTTTTGGAAAAATATCTAAATCTACTTTGCTTTCCATTTTCTCTTATATTTTAAAAATGTCAACATAATTTGAGAAATACACAGTTCTACGTATATTACACTCAGTGGGAATAAACATCTACTGTAAAGCAACTTATTTTAGAACTGTTGAACTCAGATTTTAAATGTCATCACTTCCTGTCTAGGTTAAATAAGTAAAATGGAAAAACGTATCTAACATCTCTACAGAAAGAAAATGACAGTATTTCCTATATCATTATTTTCTGGCTTTGGTTTTGTTTTGAGAAAAAATTTTAAATACAGGAACTATGAAGAATAAATAATATAATAAATACTTTTATCTCTTAATAAACTGATAACATTTTATCATGTTTACTTCAAGCTTTTTTCTAATTTAATGTTTTTGTGGTATGAGAACATTTGCTTTAAACAGTTTTACTTCTTGACCTCCTTCTCCTGAGGCAGCTATATTAGGGATTTTATATTTGTGCAATCTGTTTTTTATATGTACCCCTAAGTAACATATAGTATACTGTTTTGAATTTTTAGATTCACATAAACTGACATCTTTTTCTGCGTTATTTCTTTTTCTGTTAACATTTTTATAATTTGTTTTGATAGGGGCTCACTAATTCTTTTAAATATTCATAGAATTTTATTGTATGACTGTGCTACATATTATATATCTTATTGATGGACATTTAGGCTCTTTTCAGTTTCCACTATTATTTTATAGTGCTGCAGCAAACACCTTTGTATATATGTGCAAGAGATTCTCTATGCAGAATACATTCGCAGTTTTACTTGGTTCTGCCAGTAGTGCCCCAAAGTGGCTGTACCAGTTTATGCTTCTGGACAGATTTTTAAATTTGTAGTATTATCGCCAAATAGGAGCTAACCATGTTTTTATATAGCATGTCTGAACTGTACAATTCAATGTTAATTTTAGAAATTATATCTTTGAGTGGTGGAACACTTAGTTAAATATGTTTTGGTGATAATTTAAAGCATAAACATTTAAAATGGAATATAGTCACCCTTTCTTCAACCACCAACTCAACTATTTATAATCAGTTTTATATATTCTTTTCTTATGTTTTTAATAACATTATTTTAACTATGCTGGTCATAATTTTTATATCTGTTTTTAATGGTGCTTTATATTTAAAATTATATTCTGTGTTACAACCTTTGTCCTTATCTATTTTTTGATGTGAGTAATAGCAATTAAGAACTAACTATTTATTAATTTATTCTTCCATTCTTCATTACTCTACCATTTGGTATTTCAGACCATTCATATGTCTTTTAAATTTGTTCTTCATAGAGAAACTTGTGATTGGATCATGTAGGCAGCCTTCAGACGCCTGGGATAAGGATTATGATTCCTTTGTTTTACCCCTGTTGGAGGACAAACAACCATGCTATATATTATTCAGATTAGATTCTCAGAACGCCCAGGGATATGAATGGATATTCATTGCGTGGTCTCCAGACCATTCTCATGTAAGTAATTTTTTTGTAACTTGTTTAACATTAAATGCTAGAAAAATTTTTTTTCTGAAATATTCCTAGGCTAAGAGAAAGTTAAGAAGCAGTAGTCATTTCCCATAGAAGGGAATGACCATGGGAAAAAATCCTTGGATTGGTAATGTGTATCTAGAAGTAATGTACTTAGATTTAGAAGTCTTGACCTTGATTGAAATCAATAGAATTGTTACTGGTTTTAAATTTTAAAATTTGCGGCAATTAGAAATGACTATGGATCTTTGGAGAATAAACTTTACTACTTTGCTCTGAGAGTAATAAGTGTAATAATTCTGGGAACTAACTGAATGTTATGTTAAATATTTTTAATAGCTACCATTCAGGTGTTGGGTGTACACACAAACAAGTATTTCTTTTAGGAGTGATAGTAGACTGATTAATAGAACAAAGTAAAAAATTAATATATGGATACTGCCCAATATTTTAAAGATTAATCTCATTTCTTGTGAACAATAATAATTTTTAAAGTTATGTAGATATCATTCTCAAAAGTCATCCTCCTATTTAATTCTATATATCCTGTCTGAAAGAAATACTGGATTTGACAGTGCAAAATTATGAGGAGATTTCTATTGGTTAGCAGTTATGTTTGGTTGTTTTCCGGAGATGCTGTTGGACTCTTTAATAATAGTATATATTGTAGTTCTTTTTATCTCTGTCCCTTGTAGAATGGTTTATGCCATAGATATGGCATGAACATTTGACTTTTAATCAACTTAATTAGTAACATCTGACCTATACACGCTTTGAGTAAAATGTCAGTATCAAAGTTGTTTCATTTTGATTTAAATTAGTGTTTTAAGTAATTTTCTTCTTATTCTTGAATCATTTTATACTTTGAAAAATGAGTAATTTTTTAAAATTTAGTTTTTTTCTAATTAGTGAAAAATGACTTACAAATTGAGATCTACTTTAGTAGCCATTGATATTTTAGATGCCGATGTTAGATGGTTATTTGTATACACATGCTTCATCATGTTACAGTTGATGGACATCAGTTTTGTCACAGTGTATTTTCTTAATGTATTTCAAGATTTTAATGCATTCATAAAGTGCTCTCTTTTGTAATGATAGTTTTCACCTATAAACTTACAAGTAAACTTTCACAATCTCTAGGTTCGTCAAAAAATGTTGTATGCAGCAACAAGAGCAACTCTGAAAAAGGAGTTTGGGGGTGGCCACATTAAGGACGAATTATTTGGAACAGTAAAGGTACAAAAACGTATACTTTGATGTGCATCCTATATCTTGCAATTAAAACAAGTAGAGAACTCTTAGGTAATGAGGTAATTCATGTGAATTCTGATTGGTGAATCTGTAAACATAAGAATAAGAGAAAATATTGTTAAATTTCACATGACATGCAAGTTAACTGAGGCACCATGTTTACCCTTTTAAAATATGTTGAAATGTCCTCTGTTAGTCATCAAAAACTAGAATATCTCGAAAGTCATCTAGTTCAACCCCTCATGTAGTTCAGCCTTTCCATTTTAAGGATGGGGAAGTAGACTTAGAAAAACGAAGGACTACTAACAAGAGATAGTAATTTTTAGATATTTTGGACTTTTATACTCATGCTATGGAAGCAGTAACTGTATTATTTAAACCAGAACATTGAGGCGGGTAAATTGATACTTGGGGTAATTGTTGATTAATTAATACATTTAATTAGTTAAGTTATGACTAAATTTACTTTGTTATAAAATTTATATGTTAAATACATGTATTTATAAGTATACACAAAAATTAAGAAAATTGTGATGTATTTTTTGAATGGGCTCTTTTGTTGCTTAGAGCTTTTATTCAGATTCAGGGAGAAACAGTCTGGTGGACAGAGCACAAGACTAGATGGAAATACTTCGCTTATTCGTGTTAATTGTGAGATGACCTGGTTTCTTAGTTCTATTCTCAGTCTTCCAGACCACATTTTCATAAGAATTAAACCTTTTTTAGAATTATTTTTTCTTTTAAATAAGAACTATAATTATTTTCTATGAATAGTTATAGAGAAGTTATATAGTAATTATAATACAGAATTGAGAATCTGAATATGTTGATTACTGAATGATTATGGGGCAGGCTTTCCCAGAAGGTTAATTATAATTGTCCTCCAGACTTGAAGCATGACCAGGTTCATCATGTGGCTGGCGTTAACCACCACCACACTCATACAAAAGAGTTAGGAATTATAAAACATTAGGAAATGAAGAGTAGCAACTCTCCTTAAAATTTTTTGAAACCGGTAGAAGATTTATAAAAAGAAGAACTAGTAAAATTCTAGTTATTATTTATTTTCAGTTAAAATATTTTCTGTTAAGTTAATAATTTTATTTTGCCTAAAACGAAGTACCCTCACACCTAGTAACAGTCGATTTCTGTGCTTTATAGGAAGATGTATCATTACATGGATATAAAAAATACCTGCTGTCACAGTCTTCTCCTGCCCCACTGACTGCAGCTGAGGAAGAATTACGACAGATTAAAATTAATGAGGTAAATTATCATTTTGAAACCCTGCAAGATTTCAAGTGCATAAAGTGTCATTTTTAATTAATAGATGTAGTAGTAACTAGGGAATAAACAGATTAGATAGTTTACATTTATTCTGTTTACTTTAGAGACAAGACTGTGCTCAGTGTGTTTTCAGGAAAAAGTTAAAAGTGAACATTAAACCTCATGTCAATTTCATACATAGCTTTCTCCTGTCTTTATAATGTATGTGATAGATTAGTAACCTTCCTGCCAGAAGTACAACTGTATTTAACTTTGTACTCTGAATGCTAACTAAATGGGAAAAGCGTGTTACCCATTTAGTGTGAAGGATATTATATCTAATGCATTGCCTAAGGAAGGTTTGTTTTGCTATTTCAGAGAATACTGATGACTAAAGAGAGTAAAACATAAGGGCTATAGTGTGTTTAGGATTTCTAGAACCTCTATAAATTAATTTCTATGGACACTACTTGGATGGGGGTTGTGT